CCAAAACCTATGGGATGCAGCAAAAGCAGTTCAAAGAGGAAAGTTTATAGCTATACAAGCCTATCTCAAGAAACAAGAAAAATCTCAAATAAACAATCTAACCTTACACCTAAAGGAACTAGAGAAAGAAGAACAAACAAAACCCAAAGTTAGCAGAGGGAAAGAAATCATAAAGATCAGAGCAGAAATAAATGAAATAGAAACAAACAAAACAACAGCAAAGATCAATAAAACTAAAAGCTGGTTCTTTGAGAAGATAAACAAAATTGATAAACCATTAGCCAGACTCATCAAGAAAAAGAAGGAGAGGACTCAAATCAATAAAATTAGAAATGAAAAAGGAGAAGTTACAACAAGCACCGCAGAAATACAAAGCATCCTAAGAGACTACTACAAGCAACTCTGTGCCAAGTAAATGGACAACCTGGAAGAAATGGACAAATTCTTAGAAAGCTATAACCTTCCACGACTGAACCAGGAAGAAACAGAAAATATGAACAGATGAATCACAAGTAATGAAATTGAAACTGTGATTAAAAATCTTCCAACAAACAAAAGTCCAGGACTAGATGGCTTCACAGGTGAATTCTATCAGTCATTTAGAGGAGAGCTAACACCCATCCTTCTCAAACTCTTCAAAAAATTGCAGAAGAAGCAACACTCCCAAACTCATTCTATGAGGTCACCATCACCCTGATACCAAAACCAGACAAAGATACTCCAAAAAAAGAAAATTACAGACCAATATCACTGATGAATATACATGCAAAAATCCTCAACAAAATACTAGCAAACAGAATCCAACAACACATTAAAAGGATCCTATACCACGATCAAGTGGGATTTATCCCAGGGATGCAAGGATTCTTCAATATATGCAAATCAATCAGTGTAATACACCATATTAACAAACTGAAGAAGAAAAACCATATGATCATCTCAATAGATGCAGAAAAAGCTGTTGACAAAATTCAACACCCATTTATGATAAAATCTCTCCAGAAAGTGGGCATAGAGGGAAGCTACCTCAACATAATAAAGGCCATATACGACAAACCTACAGCAAACATCATTCTCAATGTTGAAAAACTGAAAGCATTTCCTCTAAGATCAGGAACAAGACAAGGATGTCCACTCTCGCCACTATTATTCAACATAGTTTTGGAAGTCCTAGCCACAGCAATCAGAGAAGAAAAAGAAATAAAAGGAATACAAATTGGAAAAGAAGAAGTAAAACTGTCACTGTTTGCAGATGACATGATACTATACATAGAGAATCCTAAAGATGCCACCAGAAATCTACTAGAGCTAATCAATGAATTTGGTAAAGTTACAGGATACAAAATTAATGCACAGAAATCTCTTGCATTCCTATACACTAATGATGAAAAATCTGAAAGAAATTAAGGAAACACTCCCACTTACCATTGCAACAAAAAGAATAAAATACCTAAGAACAAACCTACCTAGGAATACAAAAGACCTGTATGCAGAAAACTATAAGACACTGATGAAAGAAATTAAAGATGATACCAACAGATGGAGGGATATACCATGTTCTTGGATTGGAAGAATCAATATTGTGAAAATGACTATACTACCCAAAGCAATCTACAGATTCAGTGAAATCCCTATCAAATTACCAATGGCATTTTTTACGGAACTACAACAAAAAATCCTAAAATTTGTATGGAGACACAAAAGACCCCGAATAGGTAAAGCAATCTTGAGGGAAAAAAACGGAGCTGGAGGAATCAGACTCCCTGCCTTCAGACTATACTACAAAGCTATAGTAATCAAGACAATATGGTACTGGCACAAAAACAGAAACAAAAATCAGTGGAACAAGATAGAAAGCCCAGAGATAAACCCACACACCTATGGTCAACTAATCTATGACAAAGGAGGCAAGTATATACAATGGAGAAAAGACAGTCTTTTCAGTAAGTGGTGCTGGGAAAACTGGACAGCTACATGTAAAAGAATGAAATTAGAACACGCCCTAACACCATACACAAAAATAAATTCAAAATGGATTAGAGACCTAAATGTAAGACCAGACACTATAAAACTCTTAAAGGGAAACATTGGAAGAACACGCTTGAACATAAATCACAGCAAGATCTTTTTTGATCTACCTCCTAGAGTAATGGAAATAAAAACAAAAATAAACAAATGGGATTAAATGAAACTTCAAAGCTTTTGCTCAGCAAAGGAAACCATAAACACGATGAAAAGACAACCCTCAGAATGGGAGAAAAATATTTGCAAATGAATCAATGGACAAAGGATTAATCTCCAAAATATATAAAGAGCTCATGCATCTCCATATTAAAAAAACAAACAACCCAATCCAAAAATGGGAAGAAGATCTAAATAGACATTTCTCCAAAGAAGACATACAGATGGCCAAGAAGCACATGAAACGCTGCTCAACATGACTAATTACTAGAGAAATGCAAATCAAAACTACAATGAGGTATCACCTCACACCAGTTAGAATGGGCATCATCAGAAAATCTACAAACAACAAATGCTCGAGAGGGTGTGGAGAAAAGGGAACCCTCTTGCACTGTTGGTGGGAATGTAAATTGATACAGCCACTTTGGAGAACAGTATGGAGGTTCCTTAAAAAACTAAAAATAGAACTACCATATGAGCCAGCAATACCACTACTGGGCATATACCCTGATAAAACCATAATTCAAAAAGAGTCATGTACCACAATGTTCATTGCAGCACTATTTACAATAGCCAGGACATGGAAGCAACCTAAGTGTCCATCGACAGATGAATGGATAAAGAAGATGTGGTACATATATACAATAGAATATTACTCAGTCATAAAAAGGAACAAAATTGGGTCATTTGTTGAGACATGGATGGATCTAGAGACTGTCATACAGAGTGAAGTAAGTCAGAAAGCGAAAAACAAATATCGTATATTAACGCATATATGTGGAACGTAGAAAAATGGTACAGATGAACCAGTTTTCAGGGCAGAAATTGAGACACAGATGTGGAGAACAAATGTATGGACACCAAGGGTGGAAAGCGGTGGGGGGATGGGGGTGGTCGTGTGATGAACTGGGTGATTGGGATTGACATGTATACACTGATCTGTATAAAATGGATAACTAATAAGAACCTGCTGTATAAAAAAATAAATAAAATTCAAAAATTAATAAAAAAAGAAATGCACTTTTTATGGAAAATAACCTGTTTTGGAAAAAAGGTCATTGTATGTAACAGACAGTTGGTTTTAAATTCCAGCTTCATAAGTTAGTATATAAAATGAGAAAACCCAGTTCACATGAATTATTAAGTAATATATAAATAAGTATACAGTGCTTTTAAGGTAAAATGCCTGGTACATAGCAAATCCTCAAGGCATGTCAGCATTTACCATTCTAGAGATGATTTGTGTTTAAATATTACTAAACATTACTTATGAGGCTTTTGATTAAATGTTTTAAAGAAGATTAAGACCTTTTTATTTTTGACTTTGCCAGTTATGCTACAAAGTGGATTATCTCTGTAATGTGAGAACACTGTAGTTCTTGTTAATTTTTTTTATTGTTAGTTTCACTGCACAATATATCTAGTATCAAATAGTATTTGGCCAGGTATTTTATTGATGTTGTAATAGTTTAAAATAGACGAATAGTACAAAGAAAGTGAAAATGACCACTGGGGTCCCAGAAACCAGAACCTGCTAGTGAGCACGGGTAGTGGGTGGTGGGCAAACTTATGCACAAGATTCTAATGGATGCCCTTCGGTATTTTACTGGATCTGACCAAGCAATATCTTCTTTACACGGAGTAGTGGTGTTGAGCTTCTGGGCATAAACCTCTCATCATCTCAGAATAAGTCTGTGTTTGGGCTATGAAAATGTGGAAAGCCCACAAACAGTCTTAGAAGCAAGACCACGAAGTAATCCTGCAAAGACAGTAAAGCAGCAGCAATATAGTCATTACGCTCTAACTGGCTGGGCATTGATGGATCTTTGTTTATTTCACTGAATGGTAATATTAGGAAAGATTATTTTGGTGCTCTTCTAAACCTCTCCTTTCCTTTTTTTTTTTTTTTTTAATTAACCACCACCCTTGAGGAGTGATCGAGGATAGTTTAAACCAACTGACCTGGGTTGAAGAGTTCCTAAACTGCCCACACCATCTTGTTTCTCAAGACTGCCTTTAGTTTTGGTGAATGAGAAAGCACTTGTTGCCATTTCCTTTCTGAGAACTGCTGAGTTAGGAGGAAAGGAAGTGAGAGATGTTCGACTGAATTCTGTCCTGTGGGGGAAGTGCAGGGCTGGGCTGGGCTGTGCCTCTGAGCACAAGCTTCTACTTTTGTGGGGCTGGCTTCCCAAGTGTCTGGTTCCTCTTTCTAAATGTCTGTAAAATTGGCTTGAGCAGTCCTACCTAATCCCCTTTCTGGGAACAAATGACCCAGGGTTCAGGGAGTGGCTAACTTTCTTTGCCTAAACTCTGGGCCAGATTGGGAGTCTATGGGAGCCCTGACGTTGGATGTGGTTCTGCCTTAACTCACATGTTTCATCATTGTTTTACTGGATATTGAAATCATGCTTATAATATTATGTTACACCATTTTCCAGCATTACGTCAGTGTCTTTGGCACACTGGACCTTATTTGTCCATGAATTGAAAGCTTCTGCTTCCTTAAGAATGTATTGACTCCCCTGTTAATGTTGTGATTATCGTTGAAACTCATTTCTTGTGCTGTAATATTATCTATGCTGTTTGTTTGCAGGTGTTTGGGAAGTGGTGTGGTTGAGCTAAAAATATTCAGAAAGATTCAAAGAAAAAGTCTTCTGCCACACAAATTCTCTGATAGTCTTCTCAACGTATCTGTTACCATCTCAAATAGTTAATTACATGATTCTCTAAAGCCCTATAGATATATGTTGCTGCTAATACTTGATTTAGTCTGTTTTTGACTCATAATTCCACTACTGCAATTTAAGTCTAAAAATTACCTTTAGGCCGGAAGGCTCTGCGGTCAAGATTGCCTAGATTCAAAACTCAGTTTGGCCTTCTCCAGCTATGCGGTCTCAGGTGAATTTCATCATCTGTAAAATGGGTATAAAAATTAGCAATCACCAAGTAGAATTGTAGAAAAGATTAAGTAATCACAGCTTAAGCTACTATTGTCTCCTTTTCTTTAATCATAGAAAATAGGCAAGGGGAAAATATTTATTATCTACTATTTGCTAGGCACTATTATGAGCCCATGCAATCCTCTGTGAGGTAGACATCCTTTTATTTTCAGATGATTAAATTATGACTAGAAAGCTTAATCAACTGTCCTAAAGGTCACACAGCTAGTAAATCGTTCACACCTAGGTTTGCTTCTAAAGCATATGTCTTTTTCACTACACAACATAAAGAAAACTTTATTCATCTTTTCCCTCCCCAGGTTATAATGTTTCAGGGTCTCCCACCGTTGTCACACAATTATTTTGTATGTACGAAAACAACTGCATGACTTGATAGCTCATGAAATGACATGGAGGAAACTTAAATACATATTACTAAGTGAAAGAAGTCAGTATGAAAAGGCTACATACTGTTATGATTTCAACTATATGACATACTGGAAAATGAAGACAGTAAAAATATCAGTAGTTGCCAGGGGTTAGGGGAGAGGGAAGGATGAGTAGGTGGCACACATAAGATTTTCAGGGCAGTGAAACTACTCTGTATGATACTTTATTGGTGAATACATGTTATTGTACATTTGTCAAAAACCATAAAATGTACAACACCAAGAACCAACCCTAAGGTAAATTATATGGACTTTGGGTGATGATGTGTTAATGTAAGTTCATCAGCTACAACAAAGGTACCACTCTGGGGGGAATATTGATAATGGGGAGAGGTTATACCTGTGTCGGGGTAGAGAGTGTAAGGGAAATCTCTGTACCTTCCTCTCTAACATAAAACTACTCTAAAAAATAGTCTATTAAAAAACAAACAAGCATAAAGAAAAGCAACATGGGTAAGCGATGTAATCTAGAGAAGGGTAAGGAAAAATAATACATTTGCAAAGGAATTTAACTACTTGTCTATCTGCCTAGCATTATAGAGTGAAAAGTACCAAGACTAGGTTGGACAACTTGTGTTGACGCCCTGCTTGCTCACAAAGTTCCTGGGTGACCTTCAGCAAACTACCTCACCTTTCTGGATCTCAATTTTAAATATGCTTAAAATGGGGCGGTTGAGTTGATCTCTAACTTCCTTTCCGGCCCTAAAATTCCTGCCTTACAGCTAAGGACCCATCCCTACCTTTTTTTTTCTTTCAACCCAGACCAGCCACCCTAGCCTGAACCTTGTTCTTACTCTACTGCATACTTTTTGGCGTACCCACTGGGTCCTAAAACACAGCAACCGTTCGCAGTGACTGCGAAACTCAAGGGCAGGGGGGCGGGAGGACTGAACTCTGAGGGGAAAAAAAAATGCATGAAAACCCAGAAGACTGACAGCAAGTGATAGAAACCTTTAGATGGAAGACTAGGCAGGGTAGAGCCGACGCTGCGCAGCGACGGCGGAAGCTGGAGGAGGGTGGGGCGGAGCCGAGATCCGATTGGACGGCTGAGGGGGCGGGGCCCGCGCTGACATGCCGGGGAGGAAAGAGGGAGGCTGCGCTGGCGTCGCCTGCCTGTTTCCGCCCCTTGGCTTCCCCGGAGCCTGGAGGGCGGGGCTCGCCATGGGACGTCACAAGAGGCGGGGCGACTCGGGGGTCCAGCCGGCGCGCGGGCGCGTTCCGCAGTCGGTGTTTGGTACTCTGGGTGCGTGGTAGTTTGGTTTCTGCTCCGGGTTCGCTGTCACAGCCCGTCACTCCCCGGAGCCCGGGACAGACAGGGCAACGCCCGTGTGTGTGTGTGTGAGCGGGACTCAGGGCAGAGGCGTCCTCTCGCTGTCTTTTTTTCTTCCTTTTATCCAAAGAAGGGGGCAGTTCTCGCGCTTGCCTTCCTGTCGCCCCGTTGGGAGCGGGGTTGGTGTGCGGAGTGGTTCGTCTTTTTTTGTTTTAAACTTGTGAGCGTTTTTGGTTTTGTTTTTATTTTTTTCCTCCCCTTTTTTTAGGCTCAGTGCCGTCTGGACTGGTTTCATTGGTCCCTGACTAACCGCTTTCTGCCCCTTCTCTCGCCACCCCCGCCCAAGGTCGCCCCTCTGCCCTCGCCCCTGGCCCGGGGGGTGGGAAGCTTTGTCAGGCTCCCTGCCCACTCGAGTCTCCGCAGCGTAGCAGCACCTGCTTCAGTATGAACGGGGTCAACGACCCCCCTCTTTTTATAAAAGATATTAAGCCCGGACTGAAAAACTTAAATGTCGTCTTTATTGTGCTGGAGATAGGTAAGTGGGGTCCGCAGCCCGCCTCGCCGCCCTGTGTGCGTCCCGGGACAGGAGGGAAGGGCGCCGCCGCCGCGAGCCGGGGGCTCCCGTCCCCCTTTCCTCCCTTTCCTCTCCCCTCCCCCATCCACGTGGCCCCGTTGGCCCGAGCTGGGGCCGTAGCCTACCTGCAGCGAGAACCCGGGGCTCGACCTCTTCCCTCCTTTCAGGTGCATTTTGATCCCGGAGGAGGAGTTAGCTTTTTGGAAGTCCTCATTATCTAATACATCCCTCCCCATTTTGATTTTTAAATCCTCACAGGACGCGTGACCAAAACCAAAGACGGCCATGAAGTGAGATCATGCAAAGTAGCAGATAAAACTGGCAGCATCACTATTTCCGTGTGGGATGAAATCGGAGGTCTTATACAGCCAGGGGATATTATTCGGTTGACCAGAGGGTAGGTGTGCATAAAAGGGTTGGGGGATCAGAGTGCCTCCCAAGTAGGAGTCTGCGGAATCGGAATTGGCTGATGCCCGGGACCTTGGCAAGTTCTAAAATTTCATCTTTTCTGTGGGCCGCCCCGAGGATTTTTAAGCCCCTTCAGTGTTAACCTTAGGTGATGGACGGCATTGGGATGTAACACCTTCGCCTTTAAAAGCAGTCAGTTTCAGCCGAATCTAAACAACCCCACCCTCAGTTTACAGATTAAGTAGATTTTTAAATACTGTTCTGGGATTACTGAGTCTTTTTAGTAGATTGTTAAAACTAACATAATCAGTACTTCATCTTTTTCATAAACTATTTAATATAGTTGTCACTTAGCTTTTTTTCCAACCTTTTCCCCTTTTTAATGACTTTTGAGATCCTGCCCGTATTTTATTTGTATACTCATTTAGACAGTGTGGACGTAAATCGAGATTGTAGCTGGAGAATTTAGTAGGTTTTGTAGTGTGTCAGATTTGTACTCGGATGTAAAAGTTGAGAGAGGAAGTTTACAATATCTGGAAGTCACGTTCTTGAAAATAATTTCTTGTGCCTACTGCTGTAAGGTCAATGTTGTACAAAAACAAAATGATGTGCAGAAAATGTTTGGCAGAAAGATGTCTATGATACCTCTGTCCAAAAGAGTTAGTTGGCAGATTGGCTTTTAAAAATAATTTACTACAACCTTTTTTTTTTTGATTAGTAATTAGACTGCCTTTAAAGATTTACCAAGTATTAGGAGGATAAAATGCCAGAAAGGGGTCTTAAAAATAGATTTTGGAAGCTTTGTGGTCAGTAGAATTGTAATAATTCATTGGTCATAACTGTAGGAAAAGTGGGTGGAGATTGACGTTGGCAAAGTAAATAGAATCTCAGAAAAGTGTTGGATCACCCTGAAAGTAGGAGCTTAGAGCCCTTTGATAGTATTTTACAGGTCTTACAACATCTTCAGGAAGTGAGGCATAGTATCATCAAAGAAGGAAGTGAGAGTCAGGACATTTTTTTTCTTATACACTGACTCATTATGACACTGGCTATGTCTTTTAAACTTCCACATCTTTAACTTGCACAAAAGAGAATTTCTACCTGGGAGGATATGGTAAGAATTAGCATAATTAAAGTTTTTTGGCTGCCAAAGTATCTCATCCAGTGATTAGAAGTTATTTTATACACTGTAAACGGCATCTCTTTTCAATTATTTCGTATTTTGTAGTCACGGAAAATACATAGATGTGTCCATGAAAAAAACTGGAAAAACTAAGTCAGTAGCCTTATAGTATCTATAGGATTTTAAGGAGTATAGTTACCAAGGAGTACAGTTTAAAGGAAAATTCAAAACCAAAGAAACTCTACTGTTACTTCAGTGTAACCTTGAAGTTATTACAGTTTTCAACTTCCTTTTCTGTAAAATGGGAATATTTATACCTTACTAAAGTAACATATCTAGCAGAGTCTGGCCCATTGTAAGGCCCTTAAATTCTGGTTGAATCTAGCTTTTGAAGAAAGGTATACAGCTCAATAATGGTAATTTGAATATTGGGATGCATATCAGAAAACCCTGCAAACATTGATCTCATTCCTGAAATAAGTGAAAGTTAAATGTTTTAGTTGTAGTGACTTCAAATTTTCTCTCAAAATAGGCATTAATTTTTACTTTAGTAAGGTGAAATATTAGTGCACTGTCTCCTAAGTCACTTTTTGTGTAACTTAAAAGTGGTGAATGGAGTCTTTAATAAATAACCTTTACTAAATGAAGAGAAATATATAATGTGAAATGAGAAAAATTTTATTAACCTGTATTAAAAGATGAACTATCATTATACTTAAGCAATATTTGGTTATAATTTATCTTTCTAAATCATGAAGTTACCATAGTAGTTGTACAAAGAACCACTGAAAACCAAGCCTTGGGTTTATTTTATAATATTGATTAATTTACATTTGTCTTAGATTTGTGAATAGGATTATTTTATCTAATGATGCTTCCTGCATTCAAAATTGTTCTCAGTAAATAATTGTTCAGCCAAGTTGTTGCTAAAAACTGGGAATTTGGAAAAGCAGATAAGCGAAAGATTTGTGATCATGGTTTTTTAGCCCCTTGATTAAATTTTACTAAATTTTCAGTAGCTTAGGAATAACACATACTAGCCTATGTGTTTTATGGAGGCAAAGGAAAAAATATATCAGTATCTGGTAGACCAAGTACATGCGTGTAAAAGTAAACACTAGGATGTTGATTTTATATGCCCTGTGTTTGAAAAGTAATTCTGCTTGAATCTCTGCAGTTTGAATGTTCTCCCTTTCTTAATTGACTAAAGATGTGATCTTTGGAGTATAACAATGCTTGCTTTGCAAAAAGATTTCTATTTTCTAGAGTTAGTTATTGTTTATATAATTATGTCAAAATTTGGCGGTAGAGTTTTCTTTGCATTATTCCTTAGTAAGTAACAAGTTAATCAATGGTAGATACAGGGTTTGAGCCCCGCCTGCACCCCAATACAAAAAAAAAGTATAAAGATTTATTTGATTTAAGTAGAAGGAAATATACATATTTCCATAGAACTGATGTTTCTTTTCTTTCTAGGTATGCATCCATGTGGAAAGGATGTCTGACACTTTATACTGGAAGGGGTGGAGAACTTCAAAAAATTGGGGAGTAAGTATCAAGATGCATTTCATATAATTGAATAAATTACAAATAATATGTACAGAATAACTGGTAGGTATAAACTATCAACCTATTTGTTGACTTTTTGACTGTAAACTGAATGCTTGCAGCAGCTTAACTTTGCATGTATGTGCTAGTTTAACACCTATCAGTACTGTTTCCTGTGGTTGAGAATGTCAGTTTTTCCTGGCAAAGAGCATTAAGAAGCTGCACTTGAGACAATCCCCAGTGGGACCGTTTCTGTAGGCTTTGGGAATGTATATCTTTCAGATGTCACAAATGCCATTTGAAGTAAGTTCTGTATGTAAAAGGACTTGCAGCAATGACATTTGAAGTCCTGTATTTATCCACAGTCTAGGTACCGTACAGGCAGCCACAATGCAAGCTTCTATAAACTACTACCGTGGTAATCTCCACCCTGACTTGGAGGAACCATCCTCTCTAGGGGTGTAAAGGTAATTCAGCCTCCATGCTGGCCTAGACATTTGGGATGTACTCATAAAGTATGGTGTAGGCAATGAGCCAAATCATAAAATCCATTCTGTTTGGTTAATGCCTGACATCAACTTAATGCCTGTCAAAATAGAGGATATCTAAAGAGAGAAGCCACAAATGGCACCACAAATAAATAAATAAATAAAAGAAGGAAGGAAGAATGTGTTCTACACTACAGGAATAAGATACTTTGGGAAAAATAAGCAATCTTGCTAGCTTTTAAAGATCAGAAACTGGTAACACTTTGCTTTCGCTTAGGAGGAAAATTAGGATTCACTTATGTTCGTACTTAGAGTAGTAGTAGAGCAATGTGTTATGAGAGGTCTTAGCATCAATATTACAGAAAGATTGAGGATCCTGTTCTGACTTTCATGTATACAGAGGTATTTATAATAATGGAGGTCAGTTATGTGAAGAACCACTGGGGGTCACTCAATACATAGTGACTTTGTCAGGGTCAGTCCAGGAGTTACCAAAACTGATTCTGATTTATTTGTGGGTTTTGTGGGTTGAGGAGCTAAGAAAATGCTTGTGTGTAATGTTTATCAATATACACCATAGTCAGCTGATAAGAAGCATTGGGATAAACCGTGTCTTGATAGCCAGTTGTCTTTATTCATGCCTGCAATATCCACTTTTAACCTTGAATGATTATCTTTGCAGATTCACAGTGATTGGTCAAAGAGGGACGGGATGAAAGTGTGTGAGTGGATCAGTGCAAATCCATCACCATTGCTGGAAAAACTCTGGAACCCTAATAAACATGGTTCAGAGGCATCAATCAGCCTATGTGGAAAAACAGGACAAAGATGTGTTTCTGTGTCCCTGATCTTTGATAAGGACAGAAGAAGAATTAAAATACAAAATAGAATGTTTTAAACATTGTAGGCAATCAAATATTTGATTTTTTTTTTTAATGAAACATAAGCATTTAGAAAGTTTTTGTTGTAAATGAATAGAGTTAGTTAACATATTGCTGTTTGGTAATTCATTTGACATCTACAGTCTTTATTCCTGAAAGTTATGCATGTTATGTAAAGAAAGGTTGATTATTTCAGAAGTCATTCAAATTGTCCTTTATTGTCTTTCAGATTTTGTATGGTTTATTCAGAAGTGCCAAATTTCAGTGAACCTAACCCAGATTATCGAGGACAGCAGAACAAAGGGGTAATTAATCCAAATGTATTGTCTGTTTTTATGATTAGGCTAATTTTAACTACGTACTATAAATCTGTGGCTAGGTTGCCAAGCTCTTCATACCCTAAGTATAATGGAGACAATTTTTAAAAGAATCTTTTTAAAGATTCTTTAATGGAATTCTTTTCCATTTTATATGGTTTGTGAGTGAGTCTGTATAGGTATCTGTAGTATCGTATATGAAATGTACAGTCAGCCCTCCATATCCATGGACCATTCAACCACCTGGGATTGCACTGGTTGAATTTGCTTATGCAGAATGTTCCTATACAGAGGGCTGACTACAGTATGCCACATTGCACAAGAAACTTCAACATCTTCAGATTTTGGTATCTGGGGGGTCCTGGAACCAATCCCCCTGAGATACTGAGGGACGACTGTATGTGCCATTTAGCAGTTTAGCACTTTTGAGGAGCAGGGAGTAATATCAGGAAGGTGTAAGATGTAACAGAAGCTTTGAAAGGTCTGGAAACACTCCTGAATATTTTAACATTGAAAGGACTTGGAGAAATCTTTTTAAATTGTTTAAAAACCCTTGAAAGTTTAAAAAAAAACAATGGCTACAACATGTTATAATAATATGGTTTTTTGAAAATCTTCATTTGATTACATTAAGGCATTTTTTTAATAGGCACACAGTGAACAGAAGAATAATTCCATGAATAGTAATATGGGTACAGGTACATTTGGACCAGTGGGTAAGATTTTTTTTTTTTGGTATATTTGTGATCAGGTGTAAGAATTAAGGGAATCTGTCTTATGAAAATATAACTGATTTTTCTAGAAAGCAGATTCCCTCTTAAGCTAATTTATTGAGCACAGTCTATATTTAAACATTTGGGCCAGTTACTGGGTGAACGTTGGCTAATAATAAATCTAAGTTTTGGTGATTCATTATGTTATTTTCCATTGATTTTTACAAAATTTCTGTAATCTAGTGATTATTGATAATAGATGCAGAATAACTGGTTATTTTTGTGTACTGAAAGCAGTTTATCTTCAGATTGATGCTCACCTTAGTTTTTCACATGCTCATAGCTGCCTCTTTAAAAGATTGGCCTTTACCCCTCAAATACTCTCAAAGGTCAGTGGTTCTTACATCCTTGTTAAGGGTCTTTTGAAGCCTTTATTCTTAAAGACCAGAGGAAAAGTCTTTTGTGACTGGAGTTCATTAAGGTGGCTGAAGTTTTATTTGACCTGTTGTCTACATGTTTGAGCACAGCTGATGATCATTATGCTGTAGGACGCTTTGGTTTTTCCTTTAAAAAGTTAGAATTACGTGTCTCTTTTAAAACATTGTTAACCTTATTTGAACCAAATGCCAATACTTATATACCATTTTGCTTTTGCTTTTTCCCTTATAATGTAGGTAGTGCATTAACTATGCTTTTTTCCTGCTTTATTGATTTCTCATTCTATTACCCAAGTTGTTCTTTTTTCCTCTCCCTAGTAATGCAAGCATCAAGTTAATATATTTACAGTAATTATACATTTGGGAAAACCTAGGACTCAAGCTGAGTTTTTTCCAGTAGTTTAAAAAAATAAAATAAAATAAATAAATAAAGGAGTTTGTTTTCCATAATACTTGTAAGCATTAATAGCATGTGTTACAACTTCAAATAGATATACTTCTATTTGAAAATGGTGATGATTTTTTATATTCTTTTTTAGGAAACGGTGTTCAAACTGGCTCAGAAGCAAGGGGATGCCAATTTTCATATGCTGGTAGAAGCAATGGCCGGGGACCTGTAAATCCACAGCTACCAGGAACAGCTAATAATCAAACAGTCATGACCACAATAAGTAATGGCAGGGACCCTCGGAGAGCCTTTAAAAGATGACCTATGCCAAATACACACATGTAGTTTTTAAACTACGTGCCCTACTTGAACACTTACTGCACTTTTATTTATTGTTAACTGTGAAAACTGTCCTTTATCGGTTTCCTTTTATGTTTTTGGTTTGTTAACAAGAGTGGTTTGTTTTTTATAGCAGAACTATTAAGCGGCTCGAGTCTCCTATTGAAGAATGGGAACACTGAAGAATAGGGGCATTTAGTTTTAGAGCAAAAAGATCTTTCGATATCCTCTAAAATACCTGCACCCATTTCATGGGTGAGTTACTTACGACATCAGCATTTTAGCCTCTATGAGTCTATTTTCTGTATAAACTTTGTAATTTTTAAAATAAGGCTTAGTGGGAGATGTTCTTTTGGCTTAAAAACAGATATGGCCAGCTAAAGCAATAACCACCAAAAAAGCAAAAACATGGTTAATGCTAACAGCAATTTTTGAGTGTTTGTGACTCCAGGAATGATTGACTTCTCCATTGAGTGACTGCCATTAAGATTTTCCAGGGACTGAATCATCGTAGACTCTTGTTCTGTTACCAAAAAACATATTCTTTATCAGAATTATGGAATAGAATGTGATCTGTATTATAACAAGAAATTTTTAGAAGAAAGCTACATTTACTTTATCTTAGGGTAGTCCTGTTAATACTTACCAGCTTTGTGCATTACACTGAATGGGAATTTAAAACTGAGGCCTTGAATGTTTATTTTCTTAAACTACTATGTCAAATATTGAAGTTTAATTTGAGGGAGTTATGAAGTCATAATAAACATTGATCTAATTTTTACAAATTATGGTAGATAAATATTATAGTGAAGGTAATTCAAATTGAATTTATGTAGAAAAATGTAATCTTAATTTATGGCGTCCTAGGTACTTGCAGAAACGCAGCCTGGAGTGAAATTCCTAGGTTCTTACTTTATTTGAGGGTATGTGTGTGTGTTTATTGTCAGTTTCTGAACACAATTCACAAAGCCTTATCAGCAACAGTTAAGAAATGGCTCTCTCAAAGAAGCAAATACAGCTTTATTTAGAAATGTAAAGGTAGAAGTTATTTATGTGTTGTAAGTGGTGTCCAGTTCCACTTTTTACTGTATGGTGGATAACTGGTAAATTTTTCCTTTGTTGGAATTAAACTCTTCTTCAACATTATCTCTTGAATAAAACTTGCGTTAATGTTAACAGACCTACCTTACTTTTGCTCTTTTAATGGTTTACAATGGAGAGCCAGTACCTTTTACTGTAATTGTAATGATGACTTCAGCCTGGTGACTACTTAGCTTTGTATTTGTCACTGTGTCTTTTTTCCCCACCTCAAATAACAATAATTTAAGTGGACTTTGTTTTCTGAAAGTGGCATAGCGTTTAAATATAAAAATTTGTGCCGGGTATTTGTTTGCTCTAATCCAGTGTGTCTAACAGGTATTTCAGTATGTCACATATTAGGCACTGTGTGGATAGTGTTAAGGGGTAGACGAAATAATGAATAATCTCAAGAAGCTTATTGTTTATAGTATTTCAGTAACTGCGGATTATATGTTATAGAAATAAGTTTTTCCTTTATTCGTATACTGATGATTCTAGTTAATTTGGCTTTGTGACTAGTATTTTTTTAAGATGTTCACAAAATTACAGATGTTTGGAGTAAAAAAAAATTACAAATTAGTACATAATTTTTTTTTTTTTTTAAACCTCAGTAGATGTAGGAGCACTAACACTGAGTTATTTGTGGGAGACTAGTGTTAAAGGTCATTTTAAAAGAAAGGATTTTGGAGTTCTGGAAGATTAAAATAATCAGGTATGGATTGCTGAGCTTCCAATCCTGGCCTTATTTTCTCTTCACCTGTGATGTTGGGCAAGTTATTCCACTTGAAACCTCTGTAAGCCAGGTTCCATAACTATAAAAACAAGTGAGTAATATTACCCCTTTGTATAGTTAAGATTTTCCTGTGTGAATGAGTAGAATGACTTCTGGCTCATAATAAGCAGTCAAATGTTTGTTGTCTAGTCATACCTCGAGAACAGAAGAAAATGCAGGGTTAGGTGTGGAAGTATTGTTACCCTTTATTGTGTTGAGATTAAGTAGAGAAAGACCTTATCTTTTACTTTTGTAATTGACATTTGCCTCAATCATTTAACCTTGTTGTTCTGTATTTTTTATCATTTATTAACAAATTTCTTTTTTCTTAAGGAAAGCCTTCAAAACCAAAGCAAGGTGAGTTACAATCCGTAATGAATATTTGCCTTCCCAGCCTGCTTGGACAGTACTCATCAAGAAGTTAAGAGGAAGAAAGTTTCCTACCTTCCTCCTTCCTGGTGCTTTCAGCTATCAACTTTTAAATAAGTTTAAACACCTACTGAAAACAAAACCCATTTAGTATAGAAATGCACACTGCTAGGTTTGGGTCCCACTTTATTTTTACAAACCAGTTCTGAAGTGGATTGAAGTCTCATTAGGCAGGTGGCCCCTCCTGTCTAGGCAGGTTGTTTGGGAGTTGCTACAGTACAGACATGGAAAGATGAAACCCATAAGCACAGATGATGATGTATAATAGTGAAAGCTGCAGTATGCTTTCCCATGGACACTTAGACTGGTTTTCCTATAGTATACCAACTCAATTTTGCTTTGTTCCTGTAGTTTTAGTAATTGTGTTTTAAATTTGAGGACAGTTTAGCTTTAGGCTACCCTAAATATTTGTATCACTGAGTATTTGTCACTTGTATTTTTATCATTTAACATTTTAAGGGTGTTTAATTTTCTGGGTTGAGTAATAATGCCAAGGGAGTGATACTAAAAACAAATAGATGTGAGGTTAGTAAAAAAGTAATCTTATGATATATAAAGAACATTTAAAGTATAGGAAGTTTTAAGATAAACTAAAAAGTTTTCTCAGAAGGTGCAAATTGAGAGTATTTTACATCAGTCTTAAGACACAGTAGCAGTTGTTAGTTTATGTGGATCTGACATTCCAGTTTACTTACTGACGTGTCTTCCCTTTTCTTATACCTTAATAATACCATTAAGTATCATAATGTACCATAATGACTGATTGCTCCAAGCACTTTTAGGCTGCCATGACTCTTAAGAGACTTTAATGTATTCACAAAAGTTCTAGAGACAACAAACCAGAAAACCATGTGAAAAGCAGTATCAACATGGAACACTTTTCCACACCAAAGTCTGTTTTCCTCTAGACTTGTTCTTGGGAAAACTTGCCCTATGATGGCCTTTTTTTTTTTTTAATAGCCTATTTTCTTTCTCTTAATTTGTTTTATCCCCTGTCTTATGAAGGTGAACATTTCTAGTAGAAGAGGGTCACAGTCGATCTCTGGTATGGGTTTAATGACAGGGGTAAAAGCAGATATACTTGGCCATAGTGAAAATCTGTGTATTGAGGTTCCAGCCAATTATTAAGTAAGTAGCCATAATGACTAACAGTTAAGTTATGCTTCTGAGGAAATCTAATTGTGACCTTGGAAAAACAGCACTATCATGAATGATGATATGTTAGGACCCGAGGGAGAAAAACATTCTACTTTCCAGGTGTATTCAGGTTTTTTCCAAATTCCTCAAGGTTTGCTTTGTTAGGGATGCACAAGAATTTGTCTTCCAGATCTGTGACCACATTTCTCCAGGTTTCTGAGCTAAAAGGGTATAATGATGTTTCTTAAAGCACTAATCACAGGCAAGAGAATCAAGTCCAGACTGACAAGCCCCTTATTTAGTATGTTTCCTCGTTAAGAACATTATGTCCAAAGATGTTAGGAAGAGCTGTTTACCACAATGAGATAGATAATCAGTATGATGTAAAGAAGATGAACATTTTAACAAGTTTGGTTAGTAGACATTTAATCACTTAAGTCTTTTTAAAGGTCTTGATAGGTAATACACAATCTTACTGTGACTCCCAAAGTTTTAAAAACATGCCTCCTGAAAACTTAGGGACTAGATGTTGAATTATATTAGAGCCCAGGTCTCTTGAGACTGTTGACACACCACAGTCCTCACTGTCATACCATGTGTATTGTCTAACAGCCTCAACTGAAGGACCATTGACATGTCCTTAAAAATCAGGTCTTTAACCATTTTCAAAAATTTGAGTACATTTTAAAAAATTTCACGCCATCAAAATTTATGCTTTTGGACATAGAAGAGACAGTCCAGTTTTTTGGTCCACAAATTGAATAGATGTTGAATAAAACTTTCAAAGAATGGTTTATAAACCTATATGAGATTCTCCCCAGGAACTTGTTAAATGTATGGATTATTTCTCTACCAGAAGGAGAGTTTATAAGTGTAGGTCTGGGAGAGCTGCACTTGAAACAAAGTCCCTGAAAACTTTTGTCCCCTACCCTTGATCTCTCCCATTAACAAAGAAATAATTTTGAAGTGTATGTACACACATACACGTACCAGTTTATCTTTGTGAGGCCAGAACATACCAAGGTTCTGTATTATAAAATGTGGAAGAATTGTACTTGGAAGCATATATCTATGAAGGTCAGAATTGATGGGTAAAGCAGAGTAGTTCCCAGCAGAATGGAGTTTTGAGTATGGCCTCTGGATGTGAGCTGAGCACTGAGTTTTGAATTAGGTTCAAATAGAATATTTTAAGGTCAGATTACCCATAGTGGAATTGCCTGGCTTCCTTTGGACCTATATAGATCAAAGTGAAAATAAGCCTTTTCACCCTAGGTTTCTGTTAAAAAAAAAAAAAAAGATTTTATTGTTGCTTATTTCAGCAAATCTGTTTGCAGCATCTACCTTCCTCCTATCCCCCAAAGCGTTCCTCAGTTTCCTACTTTATTATGTAGAGAGATGCTGGTGGGGTTGGAGGCATGATAAATATTACTGAGAATGCCTACAGAACCTACCACTTACAGATCTTAATCCTGTTCTGTCCAGAGAGATGGATACCATAAATACTTTACATAAAGAAGTAATATACCAGGTATGATTTGACTGCCATGTGGGGCTAGTCTTTTGTTTTAAATATTTATAACCCTAGTAGGGAGCTGAGTAAGACCTCTGACCTAAGTCTCTGGATTAATTAAGATAGAAAACCAATAGAAACAGGGTAGTCAGCACGATTAGTGCCATCTACTGGGTGATTACTATATCGTTTCAGCAGTATAGAAATCTGGCTTAATGTGAGGAAAAGCTTCCATTATTTCATCATTGGATAGGAGTTTTTGATGGTTTAAGCATCATGTGGAAGATCATTAAGGAGAAGCTGGGCTATCTGTTTAATTCTAGTTTATGAACAGGCAGTGCCGACATCAAAAATAAATTCCCCCCAGTTAAGCAGGTTTATTAAACCCTGAACTGCCCCTAAAGCTACAGAAAATACGGGAATAGTTGCCAAGTTTTGTATGCTTGTTACATTTAACAATAATACTGGTGGGACGTGTAAACTGTTAAAAGTACCTTTGGGTGGGTGGTGGTTTGGTAAAAACAATTGAAGTAGAACACGAACTGCCCTTATAAATTTTATTCCTTTACTAGTGGTATTTTGTCAAATCCTGGCCAAGTGACTGCTGTTGTTCTTGGAGCTATGTTAGCTTTGCAGAACATAACCTATTTTAAATGCCAGAGACAATGTGCTTTGGTGGAAAGAACTGGTTTTGAACTGAGGAGATCTTGGTTTGAGGCCTAGATCTACTATTTACTGGCTCTATAATCATGAGCTTCATTATAAAATGAGGATATTGGGGCTATATGCTGGCAGGGCTATGAGAACTATGTGAGTCAATGTATGCAAAGCATCTGTTCTGTATCTAGGGCTTAACAAATGTTATGTTCTTTCCCCGTGAGCAGTGGAAATAAGAGGCGAATATTGGTCATTTCTCCATGCCATTAGTAGGAGACGGTCTTTTCTATAATTTAAAATCTGGAATATTAAGCAATTTATATAATTGCAATTAGGTTTTTAAAAAAAAAAAACACAAGATTTTACAGTCTTCTGGGTGCAGAAAAGTACGTGTGCTGACAATTTACCACGATTATGAGGATAGCATGTCGGCTTGAGTCTTCATCATGAAGTCTGCCCAATACCTGAGTACCCTGTGCTGTTTTTCCATTCACCTTTGTCCAGAGGGTGAGGGCATGATTATGAAGGTACAGGGGAAGAGGAAGGATGTGTGGGCCAGGGTTTGTGTCAGGGAGGAGGTCAGTGGCCAAGGGGAGAGC